TTCACCCGCGCCGGACAGAGACTGAGACGGTGCTGCTGCATGTCATGCCAAACCTTCTCATGGCAGGCGCATCATCAGCTTCAGATCGTTTTTTTGAGATCGGCCTTTTTAAGAGACCGCTGATCAATCATCCCAACGTGATTATCGGCCGATAGTGATCGGTAGCCGATCAATCGGAGCACCCCTAGCAAAAACTTTTACTTTCTTAAAACATGATTCTGATCTTATCATGAATAAGCATATTTCAAAAGTTTGTCTTTACAGTCCATCATTAAAACATGACTTCCTCCACCTTTGAAAAGACCTTGCTTTTAATCACAACCCCCTCTTACTTTTGCAACCCATTTGCAAAGCTAAGTCAGAAATGTTACATTAACAAAGCAAAAGAATCTACGCACAGCATTTTGTGTTGACTTTGAAAACCAATCAATGCCATCCCCTGATGTGATCAAATACCGTTATATTCTGACAGTAAAATAGCACTTGCCAACACAGAAGTGTTGGAAATGGGTCTTTCTGCGATACATCTGACTGACCTGGATCGCTGGACCTGCCGCTGTTGTTCTGTCGCTGTAAGGAGTCTTTGTAGCACACCGAGCACATGCCGTTATTACGCGGATTCCCGTAAAACCCACAACCATTGGAACAGAGCACTTGTGTCTGATTGCTCTCCTGAGCCATATCCCTCTCCTGTGGGCAGAACAGAGAGAGATCACCATTAAAAAATGTAGAAGCTAAATAACAGACCTAAAAGCATGCATGAGAACCAGTGGTCCATTTCACCTTAAAAAAAAAAGCTCAGAGTCTACGATCTGTGCTTTGAATACTGAGTGTACGGCTGAATTAGGCTTTGTGCTGATGTTTGAGTGAATAAGACACTTATCTGATCTTCCTCTGACATGTTCTAACTGTCTCTCTGCACCTGTCTGTAAGGGTCTGTCTCTCTCAGACTACCTGTGCGGCTGTCTCACATTCATACTGTAAAATAAGTGTCCTCGCTGTGCTGAAAGATGGGAGAAAAGGGCAATTTCACCTTAAAAAAAATACACAGACATATATGCAGACAGACAATATGGATGATGGATAGTTGGAACGACAGACAGACAGACAGAACAGAAAGATAGAATGCTGGATAGACAGACAGAGAGATAGAAAGATGGAACGACAGACAGATATATGATATATGGATAGATGGAGCTAAGATAAAACGATGGATAGATGGAACGACAATGATAGAAAGACAGAATGACACAGATGGAATGACACACAGAACGATAGAAAGGTAGAATGATGCATAGATAGAATGACAGGCAGACAGACATACAAGACATATTACAAACAAATTATTTATCTATTCACTTTTTAACGCCATGCCAGCATCAAGGCTATTTTCACGGCTATCTCTGAATAAATTATACAAGGTATACAATTAACAAAAGGTTATAAAAGACATTTCAGATGTACACTAGACAAAAATTCTAAAACACATCCAGGTGATACATTTCTAAATAAATCAGTTAGACACACCTCTGAATAAAACCGCTGTCTATTTACATGAAAAACAGTACAATCCAATAAAATATGCTTCACAGTCATTTTAGTTTGGCAAGTAAGGCATGATGGAGGTTCTTCACCTTTTAATAAATAACCATGTGTAAATCTTGTATGACCTAAAAGACACCTTGTAAAACCAACTTTGTCATACCTAGATTTAAAATTTCTTACACTAGGATTAGTTTCATATAACTTATTTTCATGACACTTATCCCATTCCATCTGCCACATGTCATTAATATAAGAGTTTATCACAGGTTTATTACAAACGAATTACAAATGCTATTTAATTTGTAATTTTATTAAAATTATAACATGATTTCAATTATGTTCTTAAATATACATTTTCTGCATTTCACCCATCTAAGTGCACACACAGCAGTGAGTAGTGAACACACTAGGGCTGGGTAAAAAAATATCGATATCTCGATATTAATTGATTCTCATTTTTACAAAACAATATCGATTCTTAAATCCCAAGAATCGATTAGTCTAGCCTGTTTTCAGTTAATGGATGGAATATTGAAGCGAACCTCCCATCCAATAAATCGCAACAAGCATTGTGCTTTTATTATGAAACAAAGTCTCAGATTTCAAATTCTGTCCATTGTATTGCATGCCGTTTTGGCGCGGTTTAATGTGGAGTGACAGATCGCTGAAGCGTCTCAGTTCAACAGACGTGGCAGTGCGTGGCGAACGTGAACTGATCATCTCCTCCACATTAATAACAGTTTCAGCACAAAATAAACATGACTAAACATCCAAAGTAGAGATGCACCGATTGCAATTTTCTTGGCCGATTCCGATTTTCGATTTTTCGTTAGTGTGATCTGCCGATACCGATTTTTGCAGATTCCGATTTTCTTTCTAAGAACTATAATTGACAGCATATACAAACAAAAATTTACTTTTCTTCAACGCAAAGTTTTATTTTCATAAAAAAACACAAGTAAAAAGTCAGTAATAAAATAAAAACAAATAAAAAAAATGGCAAACAACAGCACAAATAAATGCAATAGAATAAAGAGAGCTATGAAACTATATAAGCTATAAGTTTTTCAGGTTAAGTAAGTTTTTATTCAGGTAAGAAATAACACATCCCGTGTTATTTTACATTTGATTACTTTAATTTCTGTAGTCTTCATTGTAAAAATTAAATACAGATTAATCCTTACCATTAAAGTTATAAAATGTATTCAGTCAAGAGCAGAAAGTGATTTTCTTTGTCTTTTGTTCTTTGATTAACATGACAGACAGCAGCAGAAATATTGGACTGCGGTCCCTTTAAGAGTTTATCCACGGACCCAATATACTGTTACACAACATGCGTTCTCTTTCTCAACTATTTAACGTTCCAAAACTGACTGTGTTTAACTGGATACTCGCCAAAACGGGCATTTTGACATAATTTTTTATGTATTTGAACATTTTAGCGCAGTTAGCAGTTAGCCACGGTATTTGTGGCTCACAAGCTGTTTGAGACTGAGCTCTCCACTAATATAGATCAGTGGTGAGTGGTGGGCTTTTGGTGTAAGCGCGAAACCTGCGGGAATGACTAAAATAATGCACAATACAAGCACTAACCCAGAGCAAATGAGACGTGTGCGTGAGAGAGAAGGGGTCATCGGAGAGAAGAGAGCGAGAATGCGCGGCTGACGTTATTGCCTGTGCCGCTGGTAACAAAACGGATCGGCTTTATATCATCCTAACATTATAACATCCTTATACTGTAGATAAACAGTATGCAATTTACATATATAGTCATTCTAAAGTCCATCAAAATATGCTGATATGCACAATACATACACAAGTATATGTGTATTTTTGGGTTTTAATAAACATACATGCATAAATTATATATATAATTATATTAATACTTACACTGTAAAAGACAATTGCCAGAAAATTTAAAAGGATTAAAAAGTTGTAACAGTCACAAACCTGTTAGCATTTTTTTATATTGTAATTGTACTACCCACCATGAGGGGGCAACATGGAGCTATACTCTTAGATATAAAATGGGTGTAGGGAGTAGAAGAAGTCAGATTCGTAATGGAGGGAAGTAAGCATGGCTTATGGCTCCAAACAATCACTTGTCCTGATTGAGAAACCTTGAGTTTTATGCTCAATCTGAAGTAAGCATTGTTTCTTGTTTTGTATTGATTGAATGCTTTTGGGTAATTTATGGGTAGTTATTTTTCTAATGTGATTTATTTCATTTTATTTAGAAGGACTCCACATTCTGTGGGATTTATCCTTGTATTCATATGCCTGTTTTTGACCTGCATCATAAGGATGACTTTAAAGTGGGTTTTGAGGCTGTGAATTATGTTGACAACTGTTGTGGATTCTGGAACCGGGTTATACCACAAATGTGACTTTAAAGACTTGCTCAGTGTTTGGATTGAGATCTACACCATGGATTACGTGTTGCACTGGGGACATTTTTGGATGGTATTCTTGGACATTGGATTTCATGGACATTGATTTCTACACTGTGTGGAATGAACATTCAGCAACTGTATCATTGTCGTCATCACATCAGAACAGATACGATTTTGACTTGTCTGCTGTCCTGAGTTTATGTTGTCGAAATATGTATGTTTGTTGTATTAAGGGGTTTGAAAAATAAAAAGAGGTAAATGAATGAGAAGCATTTATTTGTTGTTTTATTTATAGATTTGACAGGTTTTGGTCATTGCTTGCTATATATAGAGCTAGTTTGCCTTATTGATGTCTTCTGTTGTGCCTTAGATAAAATCTAGTTAGGGGTTCCCTCCCTATAAAACAGATTTATAACCAACACTTTTTTGAGAGTAAGGTAACGGTTATAACTTTTACACAACATGCGTTCTCTTTCTCAACTATTTAACGTTCCAAAACTGACTGTGTTTAACTGGATACTCGCCAAGATGGGCATTTTGACATTATTTTGTATGTATTTGAACGTTTTAGCACAGTTAGCCACTCATTTTGGTATTTGTGGCTCACAAGCTGTTTGAGACTGAGCTCTCCACTAATATAGATCAGTGGTGGTGCGCGTGCTTTTGGTGTAAGCGCGAAACCTGCGGGAATGACTAAAATAATGAGCAATACAAGAAATATTTAACTGGAGTGGATGAGACGTGTGTGAGAGAGAATGGGTCGTCGGAGAGAAGAGAGCGAGAATGCGCGGCTGACGTTATTGCCTGTGCTGCTGGTAACAAAACGGATCGGCTAGAAATCGGAAAGAAGTGAGACTGACCGGCCGATCACAGATCCGAGCTGATAAGGAAAATAGGCCGATTCCGATCCCCGGCCGATCGATCGGTGCATCTCTAATCCAAAGGTAAGTTAAAAGAAAGAGTACAGCAATACAATCCGTATCCTGTCTTATGTATTCGCTCAATCAGTGTTTCAGCCGCCCAAAGACGTCAATATAACAGTTTGTAAACAATATGTCATGTAACGTCACATTTACCTCAGAAAAATCATATTTGGTGACCATAATCTCATTAGTCAGATAGAAAAATAAACTGTAGAGAGGGACATTTTGCTAAATATATGCACCATATAACATTCATTATAAATTTTACTGTTCTTCAATGTTTCATTTATGTTTGAATAAATCCATCAAGTTTTTATGACAGCCACCATTATATTTAAAAAAAAAAAAAAAAACGAATTGAAGTAGAAATATTATTATGTAATCATAATTTTTATTATTTTAAAAACGTCATTAAGTGTAATTTTAACAAATTAGTAAATTTTAACCTTAAATATTATAGTAATTTAGTACCAACTGACTCTCGTATATTTTACAGCATTAGTTGAGAGATTTTTTTTTCCTTGAGAAAATTTGCCATGTACTGTACCTGATATATATACAAAATAATCGATATTGAATCGAATCGAAAGCTTGTGAATGAGAATCGAATTGAATCGTGAAATTTGTATCAAAACCCAGCCCTAGAACACACAAAGCAGTGGGCAGCCATTTTTGCTGCGGGGAGCAATTGGGGGTTAGGTTTGCTCAAGGGCACCTACAGTGGTGTGAAAAAGTGTTGGCCCCCTTCCTGATTTCTTATTTTTTTGCATGTTTGTCACACTTTAATGTTTCAGATCATCAAACAAATTTAAATATTAGTAAAAGATAACAAGTGAACACAACATGCAGTTTTTAAATTAAGGTTTTTATTATTAAGGGAAAACAAAATCCAAAACTAGAAAGGGGGCCAACACTTTTTCACACCACTGCAAGTCGTAGGTTTTGAGGGTGGAGTGAGCAGCGTTTATTCACTCACTCCACCTACATTTCCTACCGGTACCCAAACCCGCCACCTTCGAGTTACAAGTCCAACTCTCTAACCATTAGGCCACCACTGCCCCAACACCAGGAACAATACAGCAAGAAAAAATACAGTCAGTACTAGGGCGATTTTTTTTTGACAGATATTGCGATTGCAATTTGATTTGCGATTTTAAATTTGCAAAGTCAAGCTTCAGCTCAATATTGTCAATAATGTGCAGCACAGTATGAGTACTGCTTCCATGTTGACTTTATCATTACATAAACACTCCAAAGAGCGAATTCAAACACAATGCTTCAACATATCAGTGTTCTCAGTCAATGTTTAAGCCAAACAGCAGCTTTAAATCAACTTTCAAACAGGTTTAAGATGGCCCAAGTGCTGATGAGTAGGCCTGTCATGATAACAACTTTTTGTTGTGCGATATATTGCCCCAGAAATAATTGCGATAAGTGATATAACTGTCATTTTAAGACCATTTTATGCCACTGAATATATAATCGTAATGTAACAGCATAATAATGCAAGAAGGCCTACACACTTTCAAATGACAACAAACTTAATTTTTTAAAATATTTAAATCATGGAAATTAAGTATCAAAATAATAGATACCTTAAAAAACCTGAATAAATAGTAAATAAACATTTTCTAACAAAAAGTGCAAAGTTGAAGAAAAGAAAAATGCACAAAGAACTTGTATGGAGATTTTTCCATCTACATATTTTACCCTGACCTTCTTTTCTCTGTAAATTAAGGGTGCACACTATTGCTGAAAAACACAATCACTACTCAGCAGTCAGATGTCCGTATGCTCAAAGGCACAGATCTCTAAACAAGGCCATATCTACAGATGAAACTTTTTTTGTAGAAGCATTTTTAAAATTTGAACTAGCACCTCATGACTACACCACATTATGTATTTTAAGTAAATATAATGGGCGATATATTGCGTCACCAAAAATGATTGAGGTCATGTACATATATTGCGCGTTAAGTCAATATATTGATTATTGCGACAAGCCTACTGATGAGAAAGAGAAAGTGCGTAATTCTGATGTTAAAAACTCAAAGTTTCTTCAGAACATACTTATCAAAAAGGATGTGCACACAAACCTCCACTGTCTGGCTAGTGTACAGTAAGCCTCTGTGATCACATGTGTTGCCCTGTGACAGGCCCTGCGCTGGATCAGATACAGAACAGCTCAGATAAAGACACTCAGTATCTCTCCTACAAGAGCAACAGGATCACTGAAGACGCTGGCCAAGAAAACATGCTACAACACAGTGACCATTACAGAACACCTTGACAAACACTACTAATGGTACCAAAGATAATTTAAAAAAATAATACCTGGGAAATAATGAAAATAACTGGAAATGATGCACCTTAATTTGGTATATTTGGTAAATGAACCAATAAATAATAATTTCAAAGCATTAGAGTCAATTTAAGCATCACAACAACATTATTGAATAAGAATAATTATTCGTTTTGAAATCCGCTGAAGTCTGTTTGAATTAAAAAAAAAGGTAGGTGTGATGGTAATTTTAGGAAAGCACTTCTAGAAATGCTGTCCTTAAAGGGTTTTGCGTTTGAGATAAATCCCCAAGTTGATGGTTTCCTACATTGAGAAAAACACACATACATACACATATACATATATATATATATATAGCCAAGAATCAAAAGTATTTAACAAATACAGCAGAGAACTGCACAATCAACATATAGAGATCAAAACAAAGGAAAGCATGCAGAATGCTGCATCATAATTACTACTGCTCAAGCTCTAGGTTCGATATGAACAAACTGCTAAGCTTAAGTATTAAACTTTGGGGTGTAACTTGTCCCATATTTTAAATGATGAGGCTTTACTTGTACTTTACAGAGGGAATGGGGAAGTGGACTGAATTTTATTTCCTAAGGTCAGAAACTTCTCTCAATCACACCTGGAACTGACATCTGTCTCAGGTGATCCAATCACATTAAATTAAAGCCAGGGTCAAACTTCTTTGTAATTGGATTCAAACATTCAGAAGCGGTCAGAAGCAAATGGGACTACATAACAATAGATTTGAACTGAATGCATGATACATATTTACTGCTGTAATATGATTATTTAACACTCTTCATATATGGAGTGATCTTTTCACCTCATATACCAGCTTTTTTATAATAAAAATTAAATAAATTAAATAGATCAGTCTTTTGCGAAAAATACAAAAATATGCTGTGGAGTACAAATTATTACTTTTTCCCCATTTGTTCAATTAGGTTCCAGAATCTAAAACTATTTGGAAACGGGAGGAGTGTAGTAAAAGCACTGAAGTGCTTTATATGGCATTGCTGATAGGGTTGACAGTGTCATTAACTTATGGGGAAAATACAATCACAACGGGATAAAGAAGTGCTTGTGAGGTAGAAGTGTTAACAGTTCCCTTACTAAATAACCAGATCACATCTTCACACAACACAAATACTCTAGTCTTTTAAGCTAACATCAGTGACACGTCACTAATTATGGGGTCACTGTTTAGGACAAAGAAATAGAAGCGAAGTACACCTACACTCCTCTTAAATCACAATGAGTTTGTTTCATTATCAATTAAACAGACTGACTACAACTAGAACTTGTAGCAGGTGGATCTGAGCACTAAGATAATCAGGTTTCCACGGCAACCTGCACTATTTACACTGTCCTTTGTTTAAGCAATCATATAATAACAATGGCAACACCGACTAAAAGCAGATTTCATCGTAATATGGCGCCTATATATCCATACGTTTGCCTTCCTTACCTGGTTAATGGTTTATAATGAGCACCTCTCTGTTTATCTTGTGCGTAACGTCGCTAGCTGTTTAAATGAAAGCTGGACATCGTAAAACACATTGAAAAATAATAGAACGGGTTACGTACACGCCCACTGAAACGCTATTGGTCGAGTCATGTAAGCCACGCCCACGAACATCACGAACTGATTCGTTTTCGCGAATCGGCTCATTTGAACAGTTCGTTTCAAAATCATTTCTGATGTGTGAACGAACCGATTTTGTGAACTGATTTAAACGATTAATTTAACAACTGAAGATTTGACTCTAAAGAATGATTCGTTCCCAAATCGTCGCTATTTTATTTTACACGTGTTTAAATAAAAGAAAGATGAATAAGCACAGCGTTGATTGAAGTCGTGTACGATTTTACGATCATTAATTATTTGCAGCGACTGCTCACAATACATCAGATCCTTTCAAATGTATTAACATCACATACTTCCCCAAAGACAAACTGTAGTTTTAACAGCTGGCATAATGTTTTTCAATCTAGTAGACAACGAATTTTCGCACACATACTGTAAACTAAAAAGCAATATAGTACAGATTAACATATGGACAACGTACGAGTTACTTTTTCACCAGTTTACTTTTCCAACTCCCTTGAGTATCTCGCTATTAGCCTGCTAATTACACAGCTAGCATGCTCGTCTTCAAAACTAACGGCTATTTGCTCTCGTACAAACAAACAAATAATTGTTAGGTAAGTTTAAGGTAAGCTTAAAGCTGTTAAGTAAGCTTTTGCTACGCGACCAAATACGTTACTTACAACAACAGGTTTTGCTCATGTCAAGTTGGCTAACAGATCACAAACCGCTGCAGCTGTTTCACTGATTCAACTGATAACCCTCGCATATAAACTCACCTCCGCACTCCTGACGACTAATGTATCGATGTCGCTGGATTAAAAGAGTTACCTTTTTTGTCTTGCGCTATCAAAGTGTTTGCGAAGTGTTTTCGGCGTTGGCCAGTTTCCCTTCCCCCACCGAGTAACAGCCTGTTTGTTAGTTTTGACACTCCAGCCCCCACTTTAACCTCCCCGGTGGTTAAATATCATCGTTTTACATATTAATTTACATATTATATATATATATATATATATATATACACACACACACACACACACACACAGATGAACTTTCTTTTTGAACTGGTTGTTTCTAAAAATATGTTTTACTTGAATAGACTTATTATGGTACTCTTCTTTTATTCTTTTGAGTTTTAAAGTTACTATTTTGAACAAACTAACTATTATATCCAAACAATTCACAATTTTAACCTGAATGTAGTTTCTATGTGAATTATTTGTAATAATAATAATAATTAATAATAATAATATATAAAATGTATTGAATGACTAGAATTTAACACAAGCTAAATTTAATATTATTATTAAATTTTGTTTGTTAAATTCTAGTCCTCCTTCTTTTTCTTCTTACTCGTTTTTTTATTGGTGGCTCGCAATCACCAATTCTAGTCCTTCATTGTAACAATAGTTCATATACCAAAAAAATCTTGTCAGACATATTTAGAACAAGAATCATTAGATGACATTAAAAGAAGATTTAAGGATCTTTGCCACGATCATTCAAACAACTATTTACCCATTTGTCAACAATAATGTTTAATCAACTCAAATATAACAAAATTTAGAATGATCACTTACTCTTTTATAAATTGTTAAGGTCAGAATACGTATGTTGTTTTATTTTTTACATGAATATATCTGAATGACGATGGAACATTATTTCACCCATATTTTGACATTTTATTTTCACAAAAACTATTTGAAACATTAAAGTATGAATAAAATATGTAAAGTATGTAATAAAAAAAGTATGAGTAAAATATGCTTTATAATATTTAATATGCTAACTTGAATGCAAAAGGCATTTTAGTCGAATAACAAGCAAACATTACCTCTAAAAAAGCTTTGTATTATGATTATGTTAATGAAACGAAGTAAGATTTTTAAAGTTAAAATTCTCTCATATCTCTTTATTGATACCAAATGTTTAAGCAAAATTAGGCTTTTATTGATCAGTCACTTTAACAGTATACTAAAAAGAGGGCAACTTAAAAATGTTATGCTGCGTCCCACAGAATAAAAAGAAAGTCAATCGAGTTTGCAACAAATGAGCAAGTTTTCAAAAGACTGTCTCTTTAAGGCTTTTCCCTGGAATGTTTACGTTTCCTCAAAGGGCATGTAAACTGACTCCGCCCACTCAGGACGCCTAATCAATTTTTACACTAGCCCCGCCCACTCAAGGACGACTAATCTATCTTGCATTAAAGGGGTCATATGATGTTGCTAAAAAGAACATTATTTTGTGTATTTGGTGTAATGAAATGTGTTTATGCGGTTTAAGGTTAAAAAAACATTATTTTCCACATACTGTACATTATTGTTTCTCCTCTATGCCCCGCCTTTCTGAAACGCGTCGATTTTTACGGCTTGAGAACGGCGCGGCCGGCGTATTCGACAAAGGAGCGTCCGGAGGGCTTGCGGCAACCACATGTGACGACCCCGGGCTGGACTCCGCTTCGT